GATGTGGCTCTTGGTTGTTCCATGAAGAGACTTCAAACAAACACTTCTAGCACTGTGAGTCTGCCCTGTGAGAAGGAGCAAGTCCTCTGTCCTGGCCTCAAAAAGTCTAGACCGCTGTCAAAGCTCAGAAGGGAGAGCTAAGTAGGGAATGTCTAGCATATCCAGGAGAGGTAGATAGGGAGGCAGGAAGGAAAGAGAGGTGCTCTTGTGAGCAGGACCAGTTTTGAAGGTCAGGTACCCAGTAGGGGCCTCCCAGAAAATTGGCACAGCATGAGCAAAGTATTTCGGCTCCCTCCCCATCCCCCAACTGGATGGATCTTCATCCTATCACAGGCTTCTCAGTGAATGGGCAGCTCATCAGCAGCAAGGCCAAAAACGCTGGGCAGCATGAGAGCACCTACTTGGGACGGCTAGGGATTGCAAACCCTGCAACAGATTTCCAGCTGGAAGTTACTCCTCAGAACATTACACTGAACCCCAGCTCTGGTGGGCCTGTGTTTTCCTGGAAGGACCAGGCTGCTCTGCGACAAGATGGGTAACTAGGCCCAAGCAGGGAAGGGAGGTGGGAGAGGTGTGGCCTTGGTTAAAGCCCAAAGCTCCTAGTGCCAGCTCTGCTGTCTGAACCTATAAAATTCACATCCCCCGAGCAATGTCAGGGGGGTGATGCCCACGGGGCCTGTGCACACAAGTCGGAATCAGGAACCATCCCATCTCATTTTCCATGTTGATGGGCCTGCGTGCGCTCCCAGGACACCCTCACCCTGAATTCCACTGCATCCCTGCCACTCTTTTGCTCTTTTGGCATCTGTCCCCGTTTACCCTGTCCCCTGCTGTTCCTTCCTTTGTTCATTCATTTATTCAACAAATGCTGCTGAGCACCACTGCATGATTCTGAGCAGCAGAGCCATGTGAAAGGGGTATAGATAAGTAACACTCAGCCCTATGGAGGTGAAGGCCTTCGAGGCAAGGTCGTAAGAGCTGTGTTGAGAGGATGAGCTGAACGGACAGGGATGCAGTGCAGTTACTCATACATAATAACCACTTGGCCTTGCAGAATTGTGGTGACCATCAACAAGAAGAGAAACTTGATGGTGGCTGTGGATGACAGGGCCACCTTTGAGGTTGTCCTGCACCAGACGTGGAAGGGGAGTGCAGTCCATCAAGACTTCCTGGGCTTCTACGTGTTGGATAGTCACGGGATGTCAGCTCGGACACATGGGCTGCTGGGTATGGCGGGCCAGGAGGGCAGAGCTATGGGTTTGAGTATTCATGAGTCTTGAGACAGTTATACAAGCCAATCTTTAACATAGTCTCCAAGACTCAGACCTCTGAAGATGAGCTGTCTTGATCTGAATCTTGCCCTCTACAAAACTGTGATCAAACATGCAATAGAACAAAACCTCAGTGAGCTTGCAGTGTGATGTGAGGAAAGGCTTGATTAGCAAGCAGAAGGGTTTGGTCGCTCCAGCACCTCGTGAGTGGTATCGGCCTCTCTGTTCCTGTGTGACCTCTCTGTTGGTCCTGCTCTCTAAGGGCACATGTACCTCTAACCTCTCTCCCAGCCAGATCCCTTTGGAACTGGATTAAAAAAAAAAACAGGAGTCAGGACCACCTGGGACTATACCTGTTTCTCTACAGAAAGAATTAAGGTTGCTTTTGATGGATAGCAAGACTTCTCAGAAATAAGCCCTTGAGAAAAATTCAAACAATTCGCTCAGCTCCTCCAGGACAAGTACAAGGTAAGAAAAAGTCTCTAGCAGTAACTGTTGCCTGTGATCTCTCTTTTCAGGACAATTCTTCCATCCCTTTGAATTTGAAGTAACTGACATCCACCCGGGTTCTGACTCTACAAAGCCAAAGGCCACGCTGGTATTGAAGAACCGCTGGTTAACAGTTACCAAGTAAGTGGGCTATTCTCCAGCACTTCTGCCCCTGGCTGCTTTTTTGTTTCCTGTCATTGGTTTGGGCCTTCCTGCAGGTATTACTATGGTGGGGGTGAGTTTAGTGGGAGTTGCAGCCTTACCAGGCCCAAGGAGTGATTCTAGCTGACTTGTTTGTTCCAGGGGCTTGCAAAAAGACTACAGCAGGGACTCCCGACATGGAGCAGAGGTGTCCTGTTGGTTTGTCCACAACAATGGAGCTGGACTGATAGATGGCATTTACACTGACTATATCGTCCCCGATATCTTCTGAGCATCAGCTGGCATCCAGGAGCTCTCTTGAGACATTGCAGAGAAGGACACCATCCTGACCCACTATACCTCCCTGTCTGCACTGGTCCCTTGTGTTAAAGCATTCTGTAACTTCCATTAAAGAGAAGCTGTGTCTATCCCAGAGCTGGGTGGGTACTTTAGGGGAGGGAGGATGTCAGAGAACAATCCAACACGTTGCCCTTCTGGGTTACTCCGGGATCAGGAGACCCAGAAGTGAGAGGGCAACTCATTAGTCCTGCCCCACGGTCCCTGAAGCTGCCTGGTCTCCATGTCCTCTGTATAAAGCCCCCCTTGAAGGCCAGGGACCTGTGGGGTATCTGGCAATGGTGAAAGTCACAACTGATCCAGACTTTCCTAAAGGCAGGTACAAAATGCTTTCCTTGTATCCCCTAAATGTATGCTCCTTGCAGCCCTTTGGTACACTCTTACCAAGGCTATTCACAGTGGAGGTATCCAAAGCCACTCAGCTTACCAGTGGCAGAACTGGGATTTGGTCCCTTGCTGCTTGTCAAACTTCAATAATATGTGAATATTCCACTCTGCTGAAGGCGAATGGTTCAAGCTTGTTGGAACTCAGTTTTACATAACTTAAAATATGAAAACGCCTATTTCCAGGTAGACTTAGGGTCCAGAAAAGGTTCTACCAAAAACAGGACGCTGTCCTGTTGAAGTCAAGGCCTCTACTTCAGTCTCATTTCCCAACATTCAGGCTGGTACTTCCCAAAAGCAGAGAGACAGCCATTGCTCAAGCCTGGGATTTCAGGTGTCCAGGTTTCGTCACCCTGTGTCTCTTTACACTGATGTCTAGAACTGTTGGCCTTTGGACCTGGTGGAAACGCAATATCACAAAGTACAAGGCAATGGAGCCGATGGTTTTAGAAGCCATTGACACTTCATGTAAAAGGGGATGGGTCTCTAACCACAAAGAGTTTCTGCTTTTTCCTCTGCTGGCTTCTGTCCAGTATCCACTACAACTAAGGCCTCTGAGGACCCAGATAGGACAAGAACTGGTTTTGAAGGCCCAGATGAATAACATAAACACTGAGCTCAAAGGTTGTCCTGGGTCTAGGAACACAAAGCCCCTTAGCAGCAGGCAGTGGGAAGCCTCACCATCTAAAGCATCCCGGCCTTCTCCAGGAAGAATGTGGGCTACCAGATGGCTAAGCTGGTCTGGGCAATGCTTTGTCCAACTTGGGCCTCATTTTCTCCTCCTGTAGAATAAGTTCACCCTGAAGATATTTGAGTCCATGTAGTTCTAATTCTGCACAATGACTATAGTTTGTTCCACATTCCTGAGCATCCCTCATAAGTAGCCACAGAATCCATATTTCAAGTTATTCCTAAGTCTCCAAGTGTCTGGGAATGAAGCAATGGTTCAGATAAAAGAGGCAGGAAAAGCTCCACAGGCAGCCATGAGGCCATGAGGAGGAGCCATTGGACCACATGGCAGAATCAAAGCCCTTTTCTTGCCCCAGCCATCTAATAGTAATCACAAGTAGGAAAAATGGCCATGTGAACCAGATGTCTCCAGAGATAGCAAAGAGGCCCAGCTGTAGTTCTGAGGGGTCTTCCCCCCACTCCAGGTATTAGCACATCCTGGGCTTGGTCTCTGTTAGTATCTATTGGTAGCTACTGCTACCAACGAACTCAGAACTCAGGAGGCCTTAGAACAGGTCCCATCCAGCTGGGCCTAGACAGTTGCTTATCAACAGTGATATCTATCACTTCATTTTTGCTGACTTATCAACTCTATTATTGCCGTGTGCCTCTTGCCACTTCCAGCCATTAGGCCAAATCCTGTGGAAATACTGCCTTACATGTTCTGCTTTCTACAGCCAACTTTCTGAACATCTCAAGAGTTGGGCTGAGAGTTTTCAGCCCCACACACGGCACCATCCACAACCATGGGCATATCACAGCTGCCCAGAAGCCACCAAGAATTGACAGGGTCCAGATATGGCTCAGGAAGCCTCAATCCCTATTGGGAGGTACTTTTAATCATTAAGGTTTAGGTCCTTCTCTAAAGTTGCCACTGCCCTGGGCACTGGAGCACCATTGTTATTAGAAACATTTAGGGGAATTACTCCCCAGAGGCCAAAGCCTGGGAGCACAGAGGGAGCCCTGGGAGTGATGTGGTATTGCCTCCAGGAGCTCTAGGTCTAGAAGAGTCCATCAGACCTGAGGACAGAAAGCTCAACATAAAGTATTGACCAGGTAGGCTGACAGAGGAAGGACGAGGTGCCACATGTAGCCAGAGGAGAATAAACCCAGAAAAAAAGCAAGTTGGAGCCAAAACCCAGAGAGAGCTGGGCTGCAGGACTTGCTCATGGAGCCCTGCCAGCTCTAGCAGGGTAATGAGTATGAGGCTCAACTATGAGCAAAAGATCCAACCTGAAGATGAGGGTCTAACTCTGTGCCCTGGATACCTTTAGTAGGCAGGGGCGGGGCTGTGATCTAAGGGCAAGAGGCAATGATGCAGAGATGCCTTTCACTCTAAATGCAAGTCACCTCCAACTCACAACCCCTACCCCCACCAGGGAGGCCCAGGGTCCACTTGTTGGCATAGTTTCTACTTTCCTCCATGTCCCTGGCCTGTCAGGAGTGAAGCCTCAACATTGTTAATACTCACAGGGTCTTCTCCATACAGACATACCCAGTCTGTTGTTCTACCTCTACTCAGCTTCCCACCTCCACTGCTCCAGCCCCATGCTGCAGGTCATTGACCCTGCTTGGAAAACACTGGGCTGGCTCATATAAGGAGAGTGAGCCAGGCCTCTGTGTTCAGCAATGGCGTTAGCTTTGTGGTCCTGTCTTGCGTTGGCTCTGCTACCTAATTTGGCAGCCTCCAGCTTTCCAAGAAGTCCCTTCCGGCTACTTGGGGTAAGTCTGTCCCCCACTTTGCTATCAAGAACCTGGGGGTAAATGGGCAGAAGGCACCAATCTGGGCAAGTCCTCTGAGTGGGGTGAAAGGAGACTAGGACCTATACTATACCTTCTAAGCCCTCCTGGACCCCAGTTTTCCCCATCTAGCCAGTTGCTTCACCATGCATTTCTTGCCTCACTGAGGACTATGAAGGTTCAAGTCTCAGACAGGTGCAGAGGCCTCTATAAAATGTGGAGCTGAGTCATTATGGTAGTGGGGGGTAGGGGTATTCTAAAAGTCTAAAGGTACAAGGAAATTCAGAAGGAGAAGGGGTTTGTAAGTCATAGAGAGAGCTCTGAGTCCTATTTTTCCTGCCTTAATTCCTGGATAACCTGGAGACCTGACCAACTGGACCACAGTGTCCCCAATTATTCAGTCTTTCCTACTCTGACATGTATCTGGAGACCCCTAGAAGCGTGTACATGGCAAGGCCCCTCACTCTGGGTTCTGGCCGCAGCCCAGAACCCGCTCTCAGGTTACACTGGCCTTGCTCGCCGCTTGAACTCTGTTTTTCTTTGTTTTTGCAGAAACGGAGCCTCCCGGAAGGGGTGAGAACTTTCACTGGAGTCCGGGCCAAGGGAGTAGGGAAAAATGAAGATGGTTACCTAATCACTAAACATGGGAGCCATAATGGCAGGTGTCCTACAGCTGCCAGGCCCCATAGCCTGCCAGACTCTCCTATGACACAAGATCCACAGGAAAGAGCACCATGAAATCACGTAGGAAGTAGCTCAGGAGTGCTCCGGTCAGTCATCCTTACTTTCCACAACACTGGCCAAGTACCAGCAGGTATTTGGCCCTGTGTGCGAAGCTAAGAACACAATGAAGTGCCCCCTGCACTACCCCTGCTTAACCTAGTTGTCTCTATTATCCCTGTTGGATACAGACTCCAGAGGTGTCCAAAGACTCCCTTTGGCTCAAGAAGTACTTGTCTCTTGTAGGACAGTGACAAAGGACAAAGGAAGTAGCCGAGTAGGTAGGGAAAGAGGTTGTGGCAAGAACGATGCCCAGGAAGAGCTGGGCAAGACCTTGGGCCTGGCTAGAGCTCAGGCTGAAGAAACAGGACTTTCCTGGAAGATCCTGGAGCTGAGGAAGATTGCTCTGGGGGCTATGTGGGAATGGTGGGAGGGCTTTACTTGGGAGAGGGGTCAGGTTCAGATCCAGGCTTTTTATGATATGTCATTGGCTGCAGCTATGTATAAACATATTCATGTTAAGGAGGCAGAATAAACATCAGGAGCAATGTTGGAGATCATTAGAATGTGGGAACTGGGGACATTGCCCAGACTTCTAATATAAGTGATCAGGAGGTCTAAGGGACCCTGATTTCAGAACCTGTCAGGTTGGAGAGCTGGCTGTCCAGGATCAGAGTCTAGCTGGTCACTACCCAATGATCCCTGCTCACCTCTCTCACAGGTGGTTGATGACATTGAGATCTACAGTACTACGATCAGTTGCAAGGTGACCTCTCGCTTTGCTCACAATGTTGTCACCACAAGGGCTGTGAACCGTGCAGATAAAGCCAAAGAAGTTTCCTTTGATGTGGAGCTGCCCAAGACAGCCTTTATTACCAATTTCACCTTGTAGGTACCACCATAGCTACTGGCTCTGAGCTTGGGAGAGGAGGTCTGGCCCAATGTGACAAGTCTTTCCTCACAGGACCATTGATGGTGTCACCTACCCTGGGAATGTCAAGGAGAAGGAAGCAGCCAAGAAGCAGTATGAAAAGGCTGTGTCCCAGGGAAAGACCGCTGGTTTGGTGAAGTAAGTGTAGACCTCAGGTCCGGTGGAGAACTCTGGGATGCAAAGATCTTCAGAGAGGCAAACAATAGCTGTTATGATTAACATAGCAAAATGGTTGCATTTTCTCATTTGGAAGTTGAGGCAACTGAGACTCAGAATGCTGAGGGAGCTCCCTAACTATAGAACTAGAACTTGAACCCAGGGTTGAAGAAGGGTGAGTTCCTGCAGTCTTTGGGGGCAGACACTGATTTAAACACCATCCAGGGCCTCGGGGCGGAAGCTGGAGAAATTCACGGTCTCCGTTAATGTGGCAGCGGGCAGCAAAGTCACCTTTGAGCTAACCTATGAGGAGCTGCTGAAGAGGCGCAAGGGCAAGTACGAGATGTTCCTCCAGATCCAGCCCAAGCAACTAGTCAAGCACTTTGAGGTAACCAGTCACTCCTGCCACTACTGCAGCCTCTGCTGAAACTGTAGAGGGGCCCAGGGAAGGACCTATGTCGCAGAGCTCAGAGCAAGGCCTGGGATCTAAAAGTTCTGGCCTTACCACTTCTTTGAGGAGGCTTGGGGGTGATTACAATGCCTTTAGCCACAGCATCTGGGGGCCAGGGACAGGAGGCTGAACTGGACCCAGCCGACCACATTTGGTACTGGGCCCTTAGGGCAATACCATTAAAGTACCTCTAATGTTTTATAACTAAGTCATAGGCATTTTACCTCTGCCAAAGCTGCAAGGCAAAGGGAATGTTGTAATGGTTGAACTTAGGACACGTGGCAGATGGTGGAAACACTTTGGGAAGAATGTCTCTGTGATCACTTTCCTAGTGGGTGGCAGCAGGGTTGGCCCCCAGCATTGTTCAAGGGGGTCCCTGAGTAATCATGAGCCCACATAGGTCTTTGTCCCAGAGCCTCTGTACTCTCAGAGTGACAAAAACCTTCTCCTTATTTTGATCCTTTCAGATTGATGCACACATCTTTGAACCTCAGGGTATTAGCACGCTGGATGCCACGGCCTCGTTCATCACCAATGACCTCCTGGGCAGTGCCCTCACCAAGTCTTTCTCAGGGAAAAAGGTGGTATAGACGCCTCAGGGACCTGGGGGTATGGGGCAAGGGCATTGGCTGCAACAGGACAGGCTTACAGGTATGGGGCTGAGGGACTCAGGTTCCACCTGACACTTTTGAGTTTGGCCACCAGGGTCAGCAGTGAGGATGATGAAGACAGGGAATGCTGATGGCCTGGCAAAGGATTTAAAGGTCTTATATACTGCATAGGAAGGGACAGATAGAGCCCAGTAGACAGGGCAGAGGTTGCTGCTCCTGTTCATAAAGGAGACTGAACTCAGATCCAGACTGAGCTCCAGCATGGAGCACACACTACAAGCTACTGACTTCTACAGGGCAGCAACCCTACACTAGGGTCCCTACCACTCCCACTCTTCTCCCTTCTGACACCAGTACTCCAGTTTGCAAAAGCCCAATGTGAAGTTTGCTTACATGAGGCAAGGATCGCTTCTCTAAGTAGCTTCCAGTGCTGAGCTAGAAGATCCTGATCATGCAGGATAAAAGATGTTCAGAAAGAGAGAACATGATGAGCAGCTATGTCCACCAGGCTCTGACATCGTACGGCATAGTGGGCCTCCAGCTTCTGCCAGACTCTGTGTACTTAAGCGCTCCTCAATGTGAGGACTCTCCAGGACTGTCTGCCAGTGGGCAGCCAAACTGAACAAGGTCTCCAATCTCCATTCCTCAGGGCCATGTATCCTTCAAACCCAGCTTAGACCAACAACGCTCATGCCCATCTTGTACAGATTCCCTTCTCGATGGAGATTTCACCATCACCTATGATGTGAACAGAGAGTCTCCAGCCAATGTGCAGGTAACCACCAATGGTAAAGATAGCCAAATCACCACCATTAGTGGGAAGCAGGATGGTGTCTGAAGGAGCTACAGCTGTACCTTGTACTACCCTCCTCAATCTTCAACCCCAGCTGTTTCTCTACTTTTGCACAGCACCTCCTTGTGTGTTAAGTAAATGTCTAAGTCAGGCGCTGGTGGCTCCTACCTGTAATCCTAGCTACTCAGGAGGCTCAGCTCTGAGGATCATGGTTTGAAACCAGTGAAGACAGAAAAGTCATGAGATGCTTATATCCAATTAACCAGCCAAAAGCCAGATGTGAAGGGTGGCTCAAGTGGTAGAAAGTCACTTGAGTGGAAAAAGCCAAGTGAGAGACATAAAGCCCTGGGTTCAAGTCTCAGTATGGCACAAAATGAATGAATGAATGAATGTGTGGCTTCTCCCTGAAAGAGAAGCCCACCTGGTGTTGCTAAAGAGACCATGGTCCCCATCTCTCTCCTCCCTTTGCAGGTGGTCAATGGCTACTTTGTGCACTTCTTTGCACCTGAAGGCCTTCCAGTGGTGCCAAAGAATGTGATCTTTGTGATTGATGTCAGTGGCTCCATGCATGGTCGAAAATTAACACAGGTAGCTTTGTGGGGGTTGGGGACTGTGAGGAGGAGGGGATTTTCTTTTTTTGTCAGTTGTGGGGCTTGAACTCTGGGCCTGGGTGCTGTCCCTCAGCTCTTCAGCTCAAGGCTAGCACTCTACCACTTGAGCCAAAGTGCCACTTCCAGTTTTCTGAGTGGCTAATTGGAGATGAGAGTCTCACGGCCTTTCCTGCCTGGGCCGGCTTTGAACCTCGACCCTTAGATCTCAGCCTCCTGAGTAGCTAGGATTGCAGACGTGAGCCACCATGCCTGGCATGGATTTTTTTCCCCCCACACTGAAAATGCTGGTACTTCTGGTGAAAGAGGAGGAAGCAAACAAGGCATCAGAAGGATCAAAGTTTCTTCCCACTTTTGTAGAGAGTCTCAGGCAGCACTGGTCTGCTTGAGGAGACCAGCAGAGCCCCTGTTGCCAGCGTAGGTGGAAAGAGACTTTACCTGCTGCTGCTTTGACTCTCAGGTTCTTGTCCATATTATCCTTAGACCAAGGATGCCCTTCTCAAAATCTTAGAGGATATGAGAGAGGAAGACTTCTTGAATTTCATCCTGTTCAGTGGAGATGTGACCACTTGGAAAGACCACTTGATCCAAGCCACTCCAGAGAACCTGAAGGAGGCCAAGACATTTGTGAAGAACATTCGTGACCAGGGAAGTAAGAACAGAGGGAAGAGCAGACACTACCCTCCAGTCGCCCCCTCTCCACAGGCAGCCTGTCTCCCTCCTTCCTTGAGGCAGAGTGTACATCATTCAATTATGTGCCAGTTCTATACATATGTACATACTAGTAAATACAGGCAGATGGGGTCTTAGGCACAAGAGCAAGACCTGTTGTCTACTCTGACATCCTTATATCCTGAGGACCCCCTCCCACAGTGCTGCCTTTCTGTCTCTGTCACAGTGACCAACATCAATGATGGACTGCTGAGAGGTATCAGTATGCTGAACACAGCCCAGGAAGAACACCTTGTCCCTGAGCGGAGTACCTCCATTCTCATCATGTTGACTGATGGTGATGCTAATGTCGGTGAGTGGGGAGGCAGTTCTGAACCACGCTGAGGGTCTGGTTGCTACCCTGGCTGCCTTCCTAGCTCTGAAGCTGGCTCACTGCAAGATTTCAAGCAGTTCTTCCCAGAGGGTCCTACTTCCTGTGAGCCCCTTCAGGACAGGGTCCTGCCCTCTGCCTCCACTAACAATCTGTACTATCTGCCCTGGCAAGAGCTTGGTGCCAACTCCACCAGCTGTGCATGTGCAGGAGTTGGACTTCCTTAGACAGTCCCCAGCACAAATACTCCCTGCTCTTCTGTAGGAGAGAGCAGACCTGAAAAGATCCAGGAGAATGTACGGAACGCTATTGGAGGCAAATTCCCCTTGTATAACCTGGGCTTTGGCAACAACTTGAACTATAATTTCCTGGAGAGTATGGCCCTGGAGAACCGTGGACTTGCTCGGCGTATTTATGAAGACTCTGATGCCCACTTGCAGTTGCAGGTACACCTTGCCCTGTGCACTTCCAGGAATGAGGAGCTCACTGCTTCTTCAGGCAGCTATACCACTGTGTAATAGCTTGAGGCATTAGAAAGATTTGGGGTTTCGAAAGACTTAGAGTGGAAATCTACCTCTGGCTGCCTCTTGTTATGATTTAGTCCTTGTACTACACAGAACAGACTTGTTTCCTCGGTAGGGTTGCCAGGGTTAAGTACATGACAGTTAGATAAATATGAAATCCTTATAAGCAATATTGCATAAGACATTGAATTAGTTTACGAATTCTGCCACATTACCAGGGACTGGGTGGGTTAAATAACAGGAATCACTGTCTCACAATTCTGGAGGTTGCAAGTCCAAGTTCAAGATCAAGATGTTGGTGGGTTGCTTCTCCTCTGAGGGTGGGGACCTTCTTGGCTTGTCCATGGCATCTTCACCCTGTGCCGGCTGTCATTCCTCATTGTGTGACTGTATTCGGTTTCTCTCTTATATAAGGCTACAAGTCATACTGGATCAGGGCCCACCTTAATGACCTCACTGGATTATCTTTGTAAAAATTCTACCTCCAAATACGGTCACATTTGGAGGATCTGAGGATTAGGACAACAACAGACACTTTAGGAATGCAGTACACAATTCAACCCATAACAGACATATTTATACTTAAAAAAATTTGTTTGGGGGGGGGTGCCAGTGGCTCATGCTGTAATACTAGCTACTCAGGAGGCTGAGATCTGAGGACCACGGTTCAAAGCCAGCCCAGGCAGGAAAGTCTATGAGACTCTTATCTCTAATTAACCACAGCTCAAGGGGTAGAGTGCTAGTCTTGAGCAAAAAGGAGCGCAGGATCAGCACCCAGGTCCAGATTCAAGCCTCAGGCCAAAAAAAAAAAAAAAGCTTTTTTAAAAGCTGATATTAAAACTTAAATATGCCTGTTCTTTTGATCTTTTTGGGGGGGAGGGGGGAGTTCGTGGGGCCTGAATTCTGGGCCTGGGCGCTGTCCCTCAGCTCTTCAGCTCAAGGCTAGAGCTCTACCACTTGAGCCACGGCACCACTTCCAGCTTTTTTCTTTTTTTTGCTTATGTGGTGCTGAGGAATCGAACCCAGGGCCTCATGCATGCAAGGCAAGAGCTCTACCACTGAGCTACCTTCCCAGCCCCTTCTTTTGATCTGTTTCCCTAGACAGGAAACAGTATCTCCACCTCTGCAAGTGGGCCCTTATGCCTTCCTCCTCTCTGTCCAACTCAGATCCCCAGGATTTTTATCCCTTTCTTTTCTTCTTCTTGTTACTTCAACAATCATTTCTCAAATATTTTTATAGAACTCTGCCAAGAACTCTGTCTTATTATAGTCTTCCTACAGGGATAGGTCAGGAAAAACTTCCCTAGAATGAAGGGCACAGTTAGGGCTGTGCTGAAGAGTCAGGAGGCAGTGCTACCCAGACCTGAGGGCTTTGACTGAGATGACCAGATTTCTAATCTGAACTCTAGGGCTTCTATGATGAGGTGGCTAACCCGCTGCTGACAGGCGTGGAGGTGGAATATCCTGAGAATGCCATACTGGACCTCACCCAGAACAGTTACCATCACTTCTATGATGGCTCTGAAATCGTGGTAGCTGGACGTCTGGTGGATGAGAATATTAACAGCTTTAAGGCAGATGTGAAGGGCCATGGGGTAAGAGAACTGGGCCTGGGGAATGAAAAGTCAGCCTAATAAGCCCTAACTTTCAGGCATCATGATGGTCCAGTAGTGGCAGCCCCTGATTCTGGCCCACCGAGACCCAGACTCTAACCATTGTCTGTCCCCACTCCTGCCTAGGCTATCAATGACCTGACCTTCACAGAGGAGGTGGATATGAAGGAGACAGAGGAGGCCTTGAAGGAACAAGACTACATTTTTGGGAACTACATCGAAAGGCTCTGGGCCTATCTCACCATTGAGCAGCTACTGGAGAAAAGGTGACCTGGCCCACCTCTCACATTGCAGGGCCTTACCCTGGGTACCTGGCTCTGCCAGCACCACACCTGTACCTGCCTTTGTGCTGGTGTGCTCTGAGGGAAGCCAAGGGGAATAAGGCTTGGCCACACCCAAGGGAAGGGAACCTCCACACCCATCCTTACTGCTCTACTATGTTCTTAGCTCAGCCAAAGAAATGTTTATCTGTATCCCAATACAGAAAAGCTCCCAGCATAGAATCTGGCACATGCTGGGCACCAGGCACATAGATACTATCATGAACAATTGTTGAATGTCTATTTCAAGCTCTTTATATTCTAGAGGTGGGGAAATAAGGCCAGAGAGGAAACAGAGTTTATCTATATGTCCCAGGGAGCTGGTGGTGATCCAGTGGAGCCCCAGCAACAAGGAGCTACCTCTAGGGATCTTGTATTGTTTGAGAAGCTAGTACAGGGAGGGCAGGGCAGGGATGTTTGTGTAAACTCTCTTTGAGCAGTCTATCCTCACAGCAAGAAGGCCCATGGTGATGAGAAGGAGAACCTCACAGCTCAGGCCCTGGAACTGTCTCTCAAGTACCACTTTGTGACTCCACTGACATCGATGGTGGTGACCAAGCCTGAGGACAATGAGGACCAGACAGCCATTGCAGACAAGCCTGGGGAAGGTGGGAATAGAGACACTGAGCCTTGGGTGCCTAGCAGAGCAGGTGGCCAGGCTGGGGAGACCACACCTCGGGAAGTGGGACATGTCCAAGAGCATTAGAAGGAAAGTTGGCCAAAGGATAGGGAAGGGAGCGTGCCAGCAGTGAAACAGTCAGCAATGATTGGGGTGTAGGGTGAACAGGAACCTCTGGAGTCTCTCAGGGAAGATGGGCTCATATGGTACACTCTTGAAGGTCATTTTAAGGAAGTGATTTTAGTTGCAGTATCAGAAGGGTTTTGTTAGGCAAGAAGAAGCACTTCCAACTGAAAGTTATGCCTGGAGAAGTCTACTGGGTATCTTGAGAGCTGGACACAGAGACCAAGTCTGTATAACCAGGCCTCCAGATTGTACTCAGCAAGGGGAGAGGGTCTCAATGCTTGGTTGTGCAGGGGGGTAGGGGGAGTTGGACACAAAGAGGCATGGGAGGTGAAGAACTAGGCCAGGCAGCAGGCTCCGAGCCCTGCTTGGGCCACTCTCATTGGCTACAATATTCCTGACTAGTGACCTATGTCTTCTAACATACTTTTCCTCTTCCTTCCTTCCTTCCAGGTACAGAAGTTAAGCTGCAGAGAAAGGCCAACTGGGCATTGTGGGAGAACGATGGAACAGAACTGAGGGGGCATTTCCAAGCCTGCAGGGGTCACCAAAGTGGGGGCAAGGGGAGCTCAACACATCTGGACTTGGGTCTAGCTCTGTTACTGCCAAAAATGGGCTACATGACTCTCTGAGCCTGAGTACTCATCAGTTGCTTGGAAGAAGGCTTTCCCTGTCCAAGGAGGGACAATCAGTATGACAGTATCTTTTGGCCTGCAAAAAGAAATGATTATCTGTGAGGCCCTTATTTTAAACCCCACAGCATCCATCCAAGAGAGTCTTTTATGATTCCCATTTTACAGTGAGGGAACTGAGGCAGGAACAAGCTAAATCCATTTACTTAAGGACTCAGCAGGTAGTTGATTTGCGCTTAGGCCTAGGCAGCCTGGGCTAAGTACCTATCCTGGAAATCACTGGGATCAAAATGTTTGACACCAATCACCATGAAATTGTATCATTACTCACTGTCATCCAACTGCCACCAGGCAGGCTTCCCTGGCACCTGCCAGCCCATCCCACCTCCACCTACATGAGAAGCACATGTGAATTGGGCCAACCCTTTCCCCTCAGAACACCCCTTTCAAACGCAGTCAGTGATGTGGGGTGTGTGTGTGTGTATGCACATATGTATTATATATGGGTTATGGGTGTTAGGTGTCTTACTACCAAAGAACAACAGGCAACTGTGGGCCTCACTCTAGCCTAAGTAAGGGGCTGGTGAGTCCAGAGGTCTGAACATGTCTGCTGTGATCAATTCCCATGAAGGAGAAGCTAGTGACTGGATGGCTTAGTCACATCAAAATGTTGGGCTCCTAGCATTAACTATATACACCGATTACCACCAGCCTTATAATGGAGTTTCTGGGGCATGTCCCTAAAGACTGAATCTTGGAGTCCCATCCCAATATTTTGTGTCTCCAGTGTGAGAGCCCTCCTAGGACCAATGGCCTCAGGGCAAGCAGAAGGCACAAGGGGTAGAGGGACCTCCTAGACTCTCTAACCATAGCACTTTGATTTCTTTTTAGACACTTCAGTGACCTCCTCCAAGGCCTACCTGAGTAAGTACACAATGATTGCCACAACTCTCTTTGCCTACTCTCTGGAGCTCAGTCCAGTCCCACCCTAGTTTGTGGTTGTTCCTGTGTCAGGCAGATGGATCTGGTGTCCTGAGAAGACGGGGGGTGGGGGTGGGTTCTGGAGGCAGTATAAGGGTATGAGAGTAGTAGGAAGCAAGAAGGATCATGAGTCAAATCTGGGTGGAGGTCTCAGCCATCCTCAGAAGGGCTTGCTGGCTGAATTCTTCTTCCTTTACTCCACAGCCAGCTACCAGCCTCCTCAAAACACATACCACTATGGTAAGTCCATGGCTCCTCCCAGTTCAGGACTCAGGGCCCCAGGAACAGCACTGCCTGTCCAAGAGTTCCTCCTGGAGGGCCAGGAGGCCAGGGGAAGTCCTTGGTACAGAAGCAGCTCTGAGTACCACCCCCTTCCCTGATGTGCCCTCAGTGGATGGCGATCCCCACTTCATCATCCAAGTTCCAGAGAAAGGGGATGCCATCTGCTTCAACATTGACGAAGATCCAGGCACAGTGTTGCGCATCATTCAGGACCCAGTAACAGGTGTGAGCTGTGGCTAGGGGGCATTCTTGGGGGAACAGAGGTCCCTGGGAGGGTTCAGGGGTCTGGTGCTCCTCACTCTGTCCAGAAACAGATTCATCTTCATATGCAGAGCACTATGTGGGTGGTGGGGTGGGGCACTGAGAGCCAGACTCACTATGTCCTGAGTGTTAGGAGAGGAGGGGAAGACTCAGAGGGCAGAGAGGAGGACCTAGCCTGTGTATGGAGCACTTTGTCTTCTGAGCGACACTCCTTGGCACAGGCAGGGGACAGGTCTACCATGCCCTAACATAACCTAACCATATCTAGGCCTGAAGTGTCTACAGCCAACAGGGCTGACACCTGGCTCTTTCCTTGGGGCCCCATTTTGCTCCATACGGCAGGTGTGGATAAAAGGAAGGCAGATCTCTCAAGGGAAGCCTAGATTCAGAGGACTTCATTGGTCTCTCTCCCCGCTCATCCCTCTGGCAGGTCTCACAGTTAATGGGCAGATCATCGGAGACAAGGGAAGCAGCACTGATTCCAAGACCAGGAAGACTTACTTTGGGAAACTGGGCATTACCAATACTCAGATGGACTTCCGGATGGAGGTGACCACAGAGAAGATTACTCTGTGGAATGGGGTGGCAGCAAGTATTTTCAGCTGGCTGGACACAGTCATGGTCACACAGGATGGGTAAGGTCCTTTGTGTCTCTAAAGGACATACAAACTAGAAGGGTTTGAACTAATCCCAGCACAGAATATCTGCAGGGTTATAGGAGAGACTGGGAGTTTAATACCAGGGGAGGGTGATCATAGTAGGCCCCAGTCAAACTGGATCCCATTTCAAGAGCCAGACTTTAAACTGGGTGCTGGTGGCTCATGCCTATAAATCTAGCTACTCAGGAGGCTGAGATCTGAGGCTCAAAGTTCAAGCCAGTCAGGGTAGACATGCTTGAGAGAGTCATCTCTAATTAGCCAGCAAAAAGGCAGAACTGGAGGCAGTGTGGCTCAGGTGATAGAGCTGTGAGTGAAAAAGCTGAAGCATAAAGCTTTTGAGTTCAAGCCCCAGTATTCACACACACACACACACACACACACACACACACACACACACACACACACACACACACACACACACACACACACACACACACACACACACACAGCCAGAATCTAAATGGGGATAAGGGATGGATGATTCCATCCTATAATCTGTCCATTTGTGTTACTCAGCTTTCTGGACAGTTAATAAAAATCACTTTGAGGAGAGAGCTGAAAGCAGTAGATTGAAGCCAGATATGGTGGCATCAAGCTGAACTCCCAGTACTCAGGAGGCCGAGGAGATCCCATAAATTGAAGGCTAACCTGGGAAATGAAGCAAGAAAGCATTCAGTGACAATAACAACTATCTCTCTGTCTATTGGTTTCAGAACCTGTTGGTTCTGAAACATCCTAGCTCCTAGCTTTTCCTTTGTCTTTGAACCCAAGAGGCAGGACAGGACTACTACTCCCACTGAGGTCCAAAACCTATCCGAGGTCATACAAAGTTAATGTCTTGGCCCCATGCCGTTAGTTTCACAAGATAGCCCTCTTTCCTTCTTACAGAGGCAATTAGGTCCACTCAGTGGAGGGCATAGACAACCTACATGAGATGCCTTGTTTCCAACACTATTCCTCAGAAATCTGTATGCTCTCAGGTGCCATATACCCAGTAGGCTTTGCTGGAAGCCCTTGATCACAGTCCCTGGGACCCTACAGCCAATACCTTCTCTTTTCTTCTAGGCTGTCTGTATCAATCAACAGGAAGAAGGACATGGTAGTCTCCTTTGGAGATGGAGTTACCTTTGTAGTCATCCTACACCAAGTATGGAAGAAACATCCAGCTCACCAAGACTTTCTAGGATTCTACATGGTGGACAGTCACCGGATGTCAGCACAGACGCATGGACTACTGGGTATGCAATGTTCAGACTGCAGACTGTTTAGCCACAAAGCAGCACAGGAAACACACTCCTGCTCACATACTCAATGCAGCCTGTGCACAAACCCTGAAATCCTAGTGACCATGCTACTCATGGCAATAGACAGGGGCTGACAGTGTGGATATTTTCATTCCCAGGGCAATTCTTTCACCCCCTTGACTTTGAAGTGTCTGACATCCGCCCAGGCTCTGACCCTACGAAGCCAGATGCCACAATGTTGGTGAAGAACCATAGGCTGACAGTCACAAGGTGAGCATGCACCTTTGTCCAGCAATGAGGCAGGGGAAAACAAAGCCCTCTCTGTTCTGGTACACTGCCTGGTGAGCTCTTCTTTTCTGTGAGGTATCCTTGTTTCCCTTTGAGGTTTTGCCCCCCCTGATCAAGGAAAAGCCCATACTTGGCTCTTTATAAGGAACAATCATGTCACTTTATTCTTGACCTAAGAATTCTAGGCTTTTGAAATTTCCTGTTTCAGTAGCTGGGGATACTGCTTAGTTAGGTTTTTATTCTTAGCACAAAAAGGAGAAAAGACAAGAATTTTCACTGGGTGCTGGTGGCTCATGCTTGTAATCCAAGCTACTCAGGAGGCTGTTTTGAGGATCATAGTTTGAAGCCACTGTGGGCAGGAGAGTCCATCAGACTCTTACTTCCAGTAAACTACTCAGAAAAAGCTGGAAGTGATAGAGCATGAGCCTTGGGCATAAGCTCAGGGACAGGTCCCAGGCCCAGAGTTCAAGAATTTCCAACTTCACCCTTCTTCAACCTTAAGCCCATGGCCACCGTAGCCATTCCCCCACCTTGATATTGGGGGATTAAACTCAAGGCCTAGCACCTGCTAGGCACTCTGCCAGTTACCCAGTCCCATTACAGTCATCTTGCTTGCCATGCACATTATAGTTTCTCTCTCTCTCTTTTTCTTAGGGGTTCCCAGAAAGACTACAGAATGGATGCCAGTGTTGGTACCAAGGTTATGTGCTGGTTTGTCCACAACAATGGGGAAGGATTGATTGATGGTGTCCACACTGACTATATTGTCCCCAGTCTGTTCTAAGCAAATATATCAGCTCCTGTTGAGACAAAAGGCCCAGTCCATGGGGCATCTGGAATAGGGGCACAGAATGGGGCCTATGGGAGGGACTGGGACAATAAAGCCTAATATGGAAACCAGATAGCTACTAGCCTCTGCATGCCTTCATGAGCCACTGCTCCAAAGAACAGGCACAGTTTGGCAGCACTTCAAATGAGTGACAGCTGATAGGAAGGCAACTTCATAGGCTGATACAGCTGATACACCTGAGAGTCTGAGTTGGTTGGAGCAACACTTCAGAGTAAAATATATGACTTTTGAAAGGAAAAAAAATCTACTATCAGCTCTGGAACAAGAAGCTCTGGAAAGTCAAGAAGGGTTGAGTGCATTTCAGAGTCCAGTAATGTCTTTTTTTTTTTAAGTCAGGGGGCATAGCTCCTATCAGGACTGTCACAAGTAGAAAGTACTCCCTGGCAAACATAGTGGCACCTATCCCATGTGAGTAAGCTTTTTGTTCCATAACAAGAAACAAGAAATATCAACTTAGAAAAGAGATTTATTTTGACTCATGATTTTAGGTTTAGTCTTAAACCTAAAATGGCTTGGTGCCATCACTTTAGGCTTATGGTCGCACAGTACATCATGTTGAGACTGCATTGTGGAGGTTTGCTCCTGTTATTGTAGTGACCAAAAAGAAGCAAAAAGAATAAAAGGAAGGGCATGGTCTCCAGTGACTAACATCCTTCCTCTAGATCCTACCTCCTAAAGGACCAATCACTTCTCAGTAGTGCCATAGTCTGGCAACCATGCTTTGAACACATGGATTTTGAGGGCCATTCCAGATCCAAATTATCCATTCACTATCCTTCCAGCCATACATCTATTACCCATTCATCTATTCTACCACCAATCTGTGCCTCTTATCATTCCCCCCATTTACCACCTACCCAGCCACCCATCTATCCTTCCCTTGGGTTACCAAATTAACACAATATTGTAGGCCAAGATATGGGACACACAAATAGTAATCCAGTCCTTTTTTCATGACTCCCTGCCTTCAGCTGGGCCAGGTCTTCCTGGGATCCTCCCATCACTTCATGATGACCATTGGCTTCCCTACCAGTGAGCCTGGGGTGAGATAACAAGGCAGAGAGAGGTTCCTGGAGAAGCATTCTAGCTTGGATGGCTGCAGTTGCCTTACCTGGGTCTCACTGCCTCCTCTCCTGCCTCTCAGCGAGCTGCCCACAGAGCACCCTACAGGTGTCATCTCCTATTTATTGATCTTGGGATCAAGTCAAAAGGCCTTCTTTGACCTCTCCAGCTTCTTCTCATTCCTTTCCAGATGTTCCTCCTTGTTTTCTAGTCTCCAGACACACTGGCTGTTTCCAACTTCAAATGTGATATATTCTTTGCCTCTGCAAAGAGTATTCTTTGCCCAATCCTTTGCCTCTGCAGCACTCTGCCTGAGGGGCTAGGAGCATGCTGGGGGGAGACCCTACTGGAGGAGCAGTGGATTATTTGCTAAATCACAGAACATGGGGCACACAAAGGATGGAAGAGAATGGAATCAAATTGTAGAGCCCTCAATGTCAATAGGGGTGGTCTCTATCAGTATCTCCCACTGCAAAGGGCTCACAGCCACTTCCTTCTGCTGGAGCCCAAACTAGGCTTTTCTAGAGCTCACACTGGTCTGGGACATGGAGAGGGGACTAAAGGGAAAGGAACTCCCAGGAGGCTGTGGGGCACTCTTGCAGTCTGATGGCTGTTTATGATCTAGAGAGGGGGCACTAGAATGGCCCTCCCAATCTGATGGCCTTTCCTGGCTCTAGGATGAATGTAGCAGAGGTCTGGGTTAAATTGGCTAATAGGTCCAAACCTATGAAGGGATCCCTTAGAGAGAGCAGGCTGTGCAGCTCCATCTGGTCCTGAGTGGGTTGAGGAGCCATGTGCTGTAAGCTGTCAGCATTCAGCATGAGGTCCACATTTACATGTGTGCAATGGAGAGTTGTCCTGCCTAAGTGTGAAAAGGCATCTCCTAGCAGCAGAGCTGAGTGGGACTAAGAAAGGAGGAGGTGATCCCCAAACAAAATTCTGCCCAGAAGCCAGGTGCTGGTGGTTCATGCCTGTAATCCTAGCTACTCAGGAGGCTGAGATCTGAGGATCACAGTTCAAAGCCAGCCTTGGCAGGAAAGTCCATGAAACTTTTTTTTTTTGGTCGATCATGGGGCTTGAACTGTGGGCCTGGGCGCTGTCCCTCAGCTCTTCGGCTCAAGGCGAGCACTCTACCACTTGAGCCACAGCACCACTTTTGGTTTCTGGTGGTTTATCAGAGGTAAGAGTCTCACAGGCTCTTCTAGAGATTTTTGCCTGATGTTTTCTTGATTTTGATTGTTTTCTTCAGATTGTATTCTTCCCTTTAGTATTCTTTGTATGAATTCCATTAATTTTTGTTTGTCATGGAAGGCTTTAGTTTCACCACCAAATTTAAGTGATAGCTTCACTGGGTACACCAATTTGGATTGGCAGTTGTTGATCTTCATGGCTTGGATTGGGGATTTGTGTGGAGAGGAGGACTGCAGAGATTCTGCCTTCTTTGAATTTTTTTTTTTTTTTTTTTTTGGTCAGTCGTGGAGCCTGAACTCTGGGCCTGGGCGCTGTCCCTCAGCTCTTCAGCTCAAGTCTAGTGCTCTACCACTTGAGCCATAGCACCACTTCCGGCTTTTTTCTTCTTATTTGGTGCTGAGGAATTGAACCCAGGGCCTCATGCATGCAAGGCAAGCACTCTACCACTGAGCCACCTTCCCAGCCCGCCTTCTTTGATTTTGTAGCGTTTAAAATTAATTCCTTGCTATTCATGTCTAATGTTTTTACTGTGGTGTGTCTAGAATTGTTTCTTCTTGGATCCTGTCTACTAGGAGTTCAATATGCTTCTGTTGGGTGAGTAAGATTTTTCCTTCTTAAGATGGGGGAAATTTTCTGTTATTATTTTTTTGGGTCCGGTCATGGAGCCTGAACTCTGGGCCTGGGCGCTGTCCCTCAGCTCTTCAGCTCAAGGCTAGCGCTCTACTACTTGAGCCACAGCGCCACTTCCGGCTTTTTTTTTTTTTTATGTGGTGCTGAGGAATCGAACCCAGGGCCTTGAGCATGCAAGGCAAGCGCTCTACCACTGAGCCACCTTCCCAGCCCTTCTGTTATTATTTTACTGAATAGGTTTTTCATGCCTCTACTATTAAATCCTTCCCCCCTCACGGATCCCAATTATGTTTAGATTGATTTCTTGGCTGAGCCTGTCAATTCTTGAATTTCCTTTGGTAAGTTCTGAGGGTTTTTTCCATACCTTGACTCTGTTCTAGACCCTCTGTTTTATCCTCAACTCTTGATATTATATTTTCCATTTCACTTGTTCTGTTACCTATGACTACCACTGTGGGTTGCAAAAATTGTGGAAATTAAGCCTTTTATGCTTCTGATATCAGTTCTCAAAGTATTAATTTCATCTTTTTATGAAGTGTACAGTATGTCTATTTTTGTCTGTATCTCTCTTTTGGTATTGGATTTCCTTTGTCATTTCTTCGTTTTTGTTTTTTTTTTGGGTCTGGTCGTGCAAGGCAAGCGCTCTACCACTGAGCCACCTTCCCAGCCTCTGTCATTTCTTCTTTGTACTCTTGAAGTTGCTTTTGCATTTCCTCTTTTTTCACTGGGGTTCTTCCCTGGGCTGTTGTTGACTTTTTTATTTGGTTTGTTAACTTGTTAACTTGTAATCTTTCGTTGTGAGTTGTCCATTTGGGTTCGGGATTGTCAGGATCATGGCCCGAGGTTGGCCTGTTTGCACCTGACTAGTGGCAGCCCTTCTTGGTCTGGGCTAGTTTACACACTGATTGGCTAGCCCACACTGGTTCCCAGGGCCAGCAAGTACCTGTGTACATGCCTAGCCCTGAGCTAGCTGAAAGCAGCTCAGTCTAGTCTGCAGTAGGGGCTGGGAAAGTTAGATTTGGGCCTCCAGGATAGGCAAGGGCTTTGGAGGGTTGGGCTCCCCATGGGTGCACAGGATTTTATTTGCACCTTGGCCCTGGGTTGATTCTTTCCCAAAAGTGACTAGTGGTTGGCCCACCACAGCTTGTGCGCACGTGTGTGTATGCTTGGCAGCTCCAGGGATGCAGTCCACCAGCAGCTGTTTGATTGGAATGTCTGCTGTACAGTGCTGGGAGGAGCAGCTTCAGGTCTCTAGGATATAGCCATGAGGTTTCTGAAACAGCAGGCTCTGCCAACAGCTGGTGTGTGCAAATGATTTTTGGCTCATACTCATTTCTATGCTATTTATTTGTAAGCCATTGATTGTGTACTTTTTTCCAGAAGCAGGTAAAGACCAGTGGCACTTGGTATATTTTTACAATTGGTTTCAGGAACTTTGAGGCTATCAAACCCCACAGATGCTCAAGTCCCTCCTATAAAATGGCATATTAAGCCGGGCTGTAATCCTAGCTACTCAGGAGGCTGAGATCTGAGGATCATGGTTCAAAGCCAGCCCGGGAAGGAAAGTTCGTGAAATTCTTATCTCCAATAAACCACCAGAAAACCGGAAGTGGAGCAGTGGCTCAAGTGGTAGAGAGCTAGCCTTGAGCTGAAGAGCTTAGGACAGTGCTAAGGCCCAGTGTTCAAGCTCCATGCCTGACAAAAAAAAAAGGAACAGTAGCACATGTAACCTGTTCCTGTCCTCCTGTGTACTTCAAATTGTCTCTAGACTATTTGGCTGACCTTGGCAAAAAAAAAAACAACAAAAAAACAAAAAGAAAAACAAAAAAACAAGACTCTCTTTAAAAATAATGAAAGCAAAAGGGCTCAGGACATGGCTCAGGTGGTAGAATGCCTATACATCAGTGCCTATAGGGTCCTAAGTTCAAACATTAGTACCAACAACAAAAAAAAGTTCGAGAGTTGATCTATAAAGAACAAGCCAGAAAGGGGTGGGGTGGAGTCAAGGGAAAGGGTAGATGAATGAAGAGAAAAGGGGAAAAATAAAGTCA